GCACACACAGAAAAGGACCAGCTGGGGGCGGTGGTTGCATGTTAATCCCGACACAAACACATCGGGCTGCTCACCTAAGCCCCCACCCCTCCATTTTTAACCTGTTCCCCTTGTCTCTTGGAGCGCTTGCCGGAGTTTAATTTCACACAGAGATCTGGAATGAGCTCAATCTTATCGCGCTGTTTTCTTTTCTGCCGGTCTCGGATATTACTCCTGTCAGCCTCAGCTTCCCCCGATGGCGGCTGTGCGCATGCGGCCGTCCGATCGCAGGGGTGGGGGCTTAGGTGAGCAGCCCGATGTGTTTGTGTCGGGATTAACATGCAGCCACCGTCCCCACCTGGCCACTTTCTGTGTGTGCGTCTCTGTCTGTCTGTGTTTAGCTACTGGAACTTTGCATATGGGTATGAATGATGCCCCCCCTCCACCAAACCCCTGCCACCTGCCAGATCTGCATGTCAGGATCCCCTCCCCGTGTTGGGGTGCATGCAGGTACCTGCTCTTGTGTCTCCGCCAGTCCCTCCTCTGCCACATTCCTTTGATGCACCTGTGTGTGTGTGTGTGTGTGGGCGGGGCTGGCTGCCCTGGGGGCGGGGCTGGCTGCCCTGGGGGCGGAGCCGGAGTCTGCGCGCTCACTGTTATTATTTATCGCAGCCAGTAATGTCGCGTTACTTTTGTTTGATGAGGTGTCAGCACAGGTCCCACCTCGCCAGCCCCCAGACCTCTTTGTTTCTGCACTCTCCCTCCTTCTTTCCCTTCATCTCTCCAACCTCTTTCTCCCTATAGACTTTGCAGCCAACACCTTCTTTTTTTTTCCTACCTCTACTACTCAACCTCTTCTTCCGCCCCCCTGCTCTCACCTCTGTGTGTGTGTGTGTGTGTGTGTGTGCGCTGAGATGCTGGAGTCCCCTGTTTTTCTACTCCACCATCCATCAGTGCCGTGACACGGTGCCTCCTCTGGCTGATCGTTTATACCACCACAGGCGGCAGTGAGGAATTGACAGATTCCTCATGCAAGAGGTCTCTGCACTGCCCCCCCCCCTCCCCTCCCCAGGCCTGTGAAGATCTTCCTTTCTCCCTCTCTCAATTGCGAGGGTCAGTGAGGCCAAGGGAGACTGTCATAGGAAGATCTCAGTGTTTCTGCTTTATTAACTCTACCTAGCTGGGGATGTAGATGATAAAACGTGTCGTCGGCACGTTTTCAGCAGCTCCAAAGCAGGTGAGCAGAGCTCGATCGTCCGTTACAGCCCCGCAGAAAAGCCCCTCCCCTCGTATCCTGCAAAGAACTGGAGCCACAGAGTGATGAGGTTTCTACGAAACGCGTCTTGATGGCTACTTACCCTTTCCTGATGAGCCCTGCATAGGGGCTAAGGGGGACATTGGAAGGAAGCTGGATCCATTTCAGAGTGGCGCCCGTGTGCCAGTCAGCCTGTGGGAAGCTGGGCAGCTGACGGAATGATGCCAACGTATGGAGCATGGCGTGGCACCCAAGATGGAGACTTATCAAACGAGCTGCCGCGTTTTTTTTAAATAGAAAAATTGAGCATGTAAGTGGTCAGAGAATATTGCTAACTAAATAGGCAGCGTGTGGCTCTGTGGGCTAAGCCTGTGTGCTTGTAATCAGAAGGTTGCTGGTTCAAACTCAGCCTCTGTGGGTCCTTGGGGCCCTTAACCCCCCCAGTTCCCTGGGTGCTGCCCTTCGTGGACAACTTACTCTACAAAGAGCGAGACAAAGACAATTTCCCCATGGGGATTAATAAAGTATCTATTATATGATACATTTAATTCTCTAGAACATTGTTTCCCAATCCGGTCCACATTTTTGCTCCCTCCCAGGTAGCTACCTGGTGGTCGTCTTTTGGCAAATGATTCTGTAACTATTTGTGAATAATACAGGGTAATTGGTGAAAAATTTTCTCTCACTTTATGAAGGTCGTCTTAATAAAGAGGTCTTTTTAATTAATTTGTTAGATATGTTTTCCCCCTTTAATTAGAACTAGATTTCTGGGCCGTTTTTGGTACTCAGGGTTAATAATTAGTGAATGCTTTCGTTGGTTTTCCGCTGTAGAAACCACCATTATTCAGGGCCACGAGATTTATAATCTAAACGTTTCTCAGCATAGAATAGAAGCCTGCTTGGCGCTTTTAATTCAATTGATGCTGTGTTATTTTTCTCTACTAAAGACTCCCGAAAATCCAATCTTCCACGTTTAATGAAGGTCTTTCAGAAAGTCAGGCGGGACTTCGTCTGATTAAAAGGGATACCTGACCGTGGACGTTGTGGAGAGAAAGCAGATATCACTCTTCCGGTAATTGTGTACTTTGTAGTCCCTGGAGACGCCGTGGGCGGTTCTGTGAAGGACTCCCAGCCGGGTTTTGCTGTTTTCTCACGGATCCCGATCGAGAGGAAGCGACGCTCGCTTATATCCCTCCTGTCCATTCTCAGTCATTCTGATTTTACACAAAAAAGCATATGAGCTTCGCAATAACAGAATAAAGGGATGGACCAGGCCATACGGGGAAATAATGATTATTAAGTAATTTAAAGTTTGAAGCGCGTTTTGTCTAAGAGACAAATAAAACGCAACCTTTAGCTGGCCAGCCCAAGAAGACGAAAAATAGTTTTCACACTTTATCATGGGGATCCTCCTCCTCTCCTTTGAATCATAGGATTGTCCAGCCCACCTAAGGGTCAAATCCTAGAATTGCCCCGGTATGAAACTCTTAATCGAAATGATGGCCTGCTTCACACAACTAGTGCTTACATTTTTAGTCTAAATTGAATTGTTAGAGCATTTGTCGTTGATTCCGTTGAGCACCTTAATCGTAGCGGATTTTATTAGATTTTAAAAACAGGCCGTGAAGCGGGAACAGCGCAGGAGTCACGAAGCGTGAGCAGTCAACGGAGAGATGAAGTCGGCCAGAATTTTCTAAAATGAACCAAGAAAAACAAGCGTTTTACAAGCATAGTTAGGCAATGCATAATAAGTATTTTATAGTACAGAATTTTTATTCGTTTGCACAACCCTCCTTTGTGAGCAGCGGCGTCTTCAGATCATTTTTCAAGTAAGGGACGCAAGGGCGACAATAAAAAGAATTAAGAATCAACCCCATCGCTGACTTTCTACAAAGTGCACAGGCATGTTTTTGTAAATTACTCAACAACAATAAAATAAATGTAACTCCAACAGCACAAGCCCCCCTCCCCCCATTTGCTCCACTAACTGTTAATGAACTTCGTTTTATTTATGACTTGCAATCTAAAAACAGGCACTATCGGACAATTAAGAAATGTACTGTGATTTATTTATATGTATTAATATTAGTGTGAAGGAGATGAAAACGATGTTATTGGGTGGGTACAAGGTTATAAACTCATGCACTCCCCCTGCTGGCCAGGTGCGGACCTACAGGTGTGCCAGTACAAAGGGCTGAGCTGCTGCTCGCGGAAGATGGAGGAGCGGTACCAAGCAGTGGCCCGGCAGAACATGGAGTCCAACCTGCAGGCGGCCAGCGCCCAGCTCAAGCTGCTCATCATGCAGAACGCCGCAGTCTTCCAAGGTAACAGATGCGTGGGCCACAACCAGAGGACGGTTAACCTCCAAAAGGTCACCTGGTTTCTATCAGGGTGTTTTGTTACCATGGCCGCCTTAAGCTACACTGGTCAAACCATGTGTGTGTGTGTGTGTGTGTGTGTGTGTGTGTGTGTGTGTGTGTGTTTAGCATTCGACCACATTTGCACACGTCAGTTCCTTCTATTTACGAAGGGACTTCATCTCGACAGTAGTGTCGCTTAATTTAACGAGATGCAAAAACAGTAGCACGCTGTTCATTTAGCCAGGACAACAGCATCGTGGATGCAAACGGGTACATTTACGGGCTTTATGGACGGAATGCGGCATGTCGAAATAGCTTCACTGTAACAAAGCCGGGGGCTGTCCGCTGTGGTGTACTGACAGGCTTGTTAGAGTCGGCTCAGTACTAATTGTCCCAGGGATCGGCTCAAAAGAACTTCCAGAGTCGTCCAGGGAGTGAGATGACAAGAGGTCTCCTCTCGTCTCGTCTTTCTTCTCCGGCCCTCTGAGTATCGAGTGAATGCTTTGTTATTTTTTTCCCCCATCCTCCGTTCTTCCCGATGCATCTTTTATTCTTTTGCTGTCTTGCTTCGGCTGGAGATCAAAGGGCTCCTTTGCCCACGTTCTCCCCTTTCCTCGTCCTCTCTCGAACCCAAGCCTCTTCCGCCGCCATCACCCTGCCAAAGGTCCAGCAAGCGCCCAACTACAAACAAGGGTTTGGTTTATTTCAAATCTGCCTAACTTTCACAAAAACAGATTCTCTCCTCCTCAGTTCTTGTTAGGGGGGGGGGGGGTGACAGTCAGGCCAATTTGTTTCTCAATCCAGAGCGCCTTGGAGACACGGCTGCCCTACTGTGCTTTGCACACACATATATAAATACACCCAGCATGCTGTGCAAGCGGAAGAAACCAAAGGGCGACAGAGGGGGCAGCAAAATCCCCTGAGGTAGGACTAGCGGAGGAGAAAACCTCTAGAGGTCCGAGATGGAGTATTTGCCCATCTGTCTGGCCAATACTAACCATACAAGCCCTGCCGCATCACATGTGTTTTAGAAGAATGGCAGCTAAGAGGCTTTCTGTTGAAACAGGAGCCCCTACTGTTAAGAACACTGTCCCATTAAAGTTTGCAGTTTCTGAAAGGTGGCCGGGCAGCAGAACTCTCGTGTAACCTTTAATTAATTAAGCTGCGTATGTGTATCTCACGGCTCCCAGACGCCACGTTCACCAGTTGGAGTCTAGTTGTGGGATTTATTTAAGTGGGTGACAGAACGGCCTGAGCAGGAAATGTGATGTAGGGAAATAAAGAACGAGAGAAAGCAGCGGATGACAGAAATAGCAGATACATCTCTTATGTGGCGAGGGAGGAAAGGAGGAGAAATCGGCTTAGAGGATATTTGAGACGTGACAAAGAAAAGGTGAAGCTGAATAAGACGTGACCATTAAACCTGGGGAAGGCAAGAAAGAAATGAAGATTCATTTTAGTTGAAATGTCATTCTGTTTGACTTTCAGATACACTGACGTGGGGGACGCAATTCATGCCGTTAAAATTGCCAGACCAACAAAATGAATACCTAAAACTCAAGTAATAAATAAATGTATTTTTCCCTTTGATTTTCATTTAATCCACAGGGGACAATTTATTTTGAAGGAGAGAGTAGCTGGATCGTTATTAAAATTAAGCTCTCTCTGGATAGGGCCAGTGAATCACTGAGCCAGACACGGACAAAATGCTAATGAGCTAAAGCTTCCCGGCGCTCTGTGTTGCTCGTCAGCGATGATGACGCCCCTAATTTGTGGGAGTCTCTGCACAACACGCTCCTTAAGTGAGCCTAAGCGAATTTATAACCCGAACCCATCGACTTGACGTGAGCCTCAGTTATAACTCAGCCCGGCAGAGTGAGGAGGTCACATGACCTTCAGTCAAACCTGGGCGGTTGGGGGGGGGGGGGGGTTAGGGGGGGACGCTCATTGCTGTTCTGGTTGCCAACCTTTTCTAAAAGAATTTCACACTTAATCCCCCTTTTGCGACGTGTGCGATCCAGGCGGTTACTGATCTGCGATTTAGAAGTACCCCCGGAGAATGAGTTGCAATCATTAGAGTGTCTGGGAGGAGGCCGACATGACAGCGTGATGAATGGATTACCGCTTCTGTGGCCCCCCCTTATTCGCCAGCAAATCGGCGTGCGAAAACGAGCTAATGAACTGGCGTTCCCTCCGTTCCAGTGACAACTGCCCCCCCCCCCACCCTGATCCTTGTGAGTTTTTTTTTTTGCCAGGTGGACAGCCCTCCCAGTAACACGGCCTCTGGGGGGGGGGGGAGCCATCAGTACCGATGAGGGGCAAGAACCGTGGAGGCAGAAGCCAAAAATTAACGTTTTTTTTTATTTTTTTTTAAATGGCCCCTCCCTGTTTTTTATGAAACAGAATACACACCCCTCAACCCCCCCAAGAATGGCCGTCAAGACGTCCGTTGAGGTGTGGTTTGTAGCCCAGGGTGGGAGGCTTGTTGTACAGAATGTTGTTTGTCACTTTTTTTCCCTTATATGGCATACCTCAGACCATGTACTAGCAAGGTGTGTCCAGTAGGAGGCGCAATGGTTGGACTTCTTACCACGAGGCAGATTCAAGTTCCAGGTGGGGGGGCAGGCTGTTGTACTCTAAAGGGAAAAGAACTGTGGCAGAGAGAACTGTGAATTGTGAAGCATTTTAGAGCTGGCTGACCGTGGCTCTGCCAGTGGAATGTTCTAGAAGTAGGCAGCTGGTACAGCTGTGCTACCAGCCTGTCGCTATGTGATGCCCATACAGAGTTTGCCCTCCACAGAGACGCCCATCCGTCCTTCCTTGTAGAACTTTGACTTTGTTGAAACGATGGGTATGCCAAATATTTGTCCAGTGTATGTCCTTCTGTCCGCTCCCCTTCCCCTCGTGTTCCGCAACCTGCCAATCAATCCTCAGCGGCTCCGTGGTTTTTCCAGAGCCAGACTGGCCTGCGGTCACCGGACTGAATCGTCCTCCTGGCCGTCCAGGTGCTGCACTTAAGCCACGGTCGGCCTTGAAGCCTGGCAGACTCAGTGTGGTGGAGCTTGTTTGCTTTCCGCCGGGGACCGGACCTGACTTCTTAACAAGGATCACGTAACAAGCCCCGTAGTTGGCAGGATGGCGGGGTTTTCTGGTTCTTACCGTTATCATCCAGACGACGGGAAACTTCTTTGTTACCTAGTTTTTCCTGTTTTTCTTTTGTCTCAGGGCGAGTTGTAAATTAATGGAAACTAAACTGTCCAGGTCAGACCGCCTGCTCTGCTGGATCGGTTACACATGCTCAGTGTGTTTAAGGAGAAATCCGTTGCAGGTCTGGTACAGGAGACCCATGCTGGGTTCAGATCTGACTTCAGACCTCAGGATTTCGACCCCCACCCGTTTCCTTGCTCAGTCCTGCCCCGTCCCCTCTTTGCCACATACTGGCATTCACGGGGTGGGGGGTGGGGGGGGGGGCACCTCCCAGAGCAGAGTGCCTGAAATGCTGCGTCTTATTTTGGGAAATTTCACGGTTCCTGGCAGATTTACCTCGCCAATGCACTACCAGGATAGCATCCCAATCTGCCAAGTGCTTCTATTTCCCAAAAATGCGCCAGCATCCTCCACGTTCTGGAAGCCAGTAACCACGACGACAGTTGCCAAGCACCATAGTATCTCGTCCTTTGCCCTCTCAAGTCCAAACTCGATATTTTCATTTATTGCGAAACGTCCATTTTTCCCCCCCCTCAAAATTGACTTTTCACGGCACTCTTCCCCACATTACCACTGACTGCTGTTTGAAGACGCTTTTCTTCCAGACGTCTGACACAGCTAAGAGATTTATTCTTTCTGTTTTCACAGTTTGCCCTCTTAGCCAGCTGGATGTCTTTATCAAAGGCATTTAGGCTGAGCGGGTGTCTGAAGGGTGTGACGGCGGGGCGGGGCGGGGGCTCTCACTGAGTCCTTGACCACCATTTGTTAGTGTTTTTCTTCCCCTTTATGGGCCATAATGCCAACTCCCCCCTTATATGGCATACTGAGCCACGCAAATGCCCCTGGCATCGCCGCCGTTGATTATGAGTCATCCAGCTCATCCTTTGCCCGCATCTGCAGATGGGTTTAAATCTCTTCTCTCTTATTACTCCCACCGGAAGGACCAGGCTTCCTGGCTGATGTAAAAACGGCCCCTTCGCGTTATTACTTAGGGTGTAAGTGGCTGTCTGTGTATGTGTGTGTGTGTGTGTTTTTTAAGCCCGGTGTGACATTCAGGCTTGAGCAATCACGCGCGGGTGGGGGGAGCCTCAGAGTAGTGGAGTCAGCACAGGGGGAGCAAAGAGAAGCAGAGTAAGATTGGTGAAAAAAGGCCAGATTAGCAAAATTACCGACAGCAGAAGAAAGCGGCTGGGGTATATGTACCTGTCAGACACACAGGAGAAGGTACATGGACCCTTATAAACAATTATACAGAGCATATAAGCGCGTAGAGCGAGTTATGTATGCCTTCTCATATCATCTTCACTTTTTTTTCGGAATTTCTACCTATGGGTGATACCCTGGACGAATAGTGTGTCACTTAGGGTCACAACAGTGCGTGAGATTCAACCACCGCAGCTCGTGCCCCAACTGACCGCCACCCTGTGGATAGTCAGACGGTCTTCTTACCCTAACAGAAGTCGGGCTGGGAAGAGTGACGATGATCTAATATCTGTAGTGCATCATTTTCTGTAGAGTGTTGGGTCCGCGCTCGTTTTGACCCGGAGAGGTGACCTACGGGAGGCAGGTTAAGTGAGTCTGTGACTGACTGTGCAGGGTAATCCCCTTGTGGGGGGGGGGCAAAGCCCCGATCCTTTCTTTAAGGGCTGCGCCGAGTCTCCAGATGGTGGCCAAAATTTCACGGCAGCCCGGTCTGGTAGCTTTTGCTCCTGTGTGACATTGCCCCCACCACCACTTTGTCCCCCATTAGGAAGCAG